ACATACACGCAGGCTTTCATACATACAATATAAAAATAATAAATCATGTTTTAAAAAAATAAACAAAATCGTGGCCTTTTATCAGACCCTCAGCAACTTCCTAATGGGTTGCATGTAGCAACAGAAGTCTATTTAAAAAAAAAAAATCTGAGTGTATATTAGAAATTAAAACAGAAGAAAATGTTCACTTCTGGGGAAAGAAGGAAGGGAAGGTGAGAGTGAGCAAGGGAGGAAGAAGATTGAGGCTTGTTTTTCTTGGAGTTTCTGGACAACCCCCGCCCCCATGAATACAAGCCACAGACAGACACTTCACTAGCAGACCGCCAACCACTTGTCAAAAGGACTGATTTCGGTGCATGCGTACATTACCTTCGCAGTACTTCCGGTCTCGGCTTAACGTATAGCCCTCGGCGCATGCGCACGACTGGGACTTGGGGTCTCGCTCACAGAGACTGTAGCGGCATGACTTTCTCCTCTGTTTGCAACGTTCGGAGTCTAAAACAGAAGATTGTTTATTTCAGAGCAAGTGGAGACGCGTTTTTTGGCAGAGGGTCATGCTAGAACTCTTATTGATTACAGCGGAGCTGCGAGGTGGACGGGGGCGGAAACCTCGCAGTGACGTCACAGCGGTGCCGCCTACAGCTCCGCTCCAATCAGCCCGCAAACGGGATCTCGCTCCCGCCCACCACTAGTGGCCAAGCCTCCTTATTTGTCTAATCATAAGACTCCTGCTGTCGCTCAGGGTCAGGGCAGGGCGTCCTAATTAGCTGGAGATGAGGGTAGTTTGCAAAACGAACATAATTTATCAGCGCTTTCATTTTGCTTGACATTTGTTTACTGCTGCTAACATCTAATGTGTCGTGAAATATTCCAGGGGAAGGTGTAATGGATGCGCACTAAAACGGATGCTTGGGGCGAATTAGCGAGAGAGTTGGGTTAAGTCACGTTTAACTGAGTGCTGCCGTTACATGTGGTTATTATCCATAAATTGAGGCTTAGGTTAAATTCACTGTGATGAATAAGTGGCTCATATGGTAATTTTACTTTTCAGATCCAAATGTCAAGAATTAACAACAGTAACATGTATCCCTTTTCAAAATGTTAACAAGAACTTTGTCCACTTTGCTCCTAATTTTACCAATTTTAATCGTAGGCATTTTGTAAAATGCTTTAGAACTTTTGCAAAGCGCTTTAGACGTACAGAACTAAGCCTATGGGTGAGTGAAATTTTTCAGAATGCTAGAGACCTGGGAAGAAATGGAGATAAAGACAGAAGAGTGGGGATGGGCATGGAGACACAGGCCTTTAATCTCAGCACACCGGAGTCAGAGGCAAAGGCTAGATTAAGTCTAGTAAGACCCTACCTTTTAAAAAAAAATCGTCACTGTCAAAAGATGAAATTTGAATGAATTTAAATGACTTCTTTGTCTTTTATTTGCAATCTGTGAATCGAGCAGCAGTTAATCTAAGCCTCCAGAGGTGCTATGCTACAAGTGACAGAACAGCAGGCCTGAGTGGAAAGAGGAAATGACAATAGGAAGAACAGATTGGGTGGCTTCCAGTATTCCCCTCGTCAGGGTAAAACATCGAGACTGCTGGGCAAATGACCTATGGAGGACTTGCCTATGGTCTTTCTCCAAATTGCTCAGGTCAGGTAAACAATCGGTCACGTGGAATGTCATTAGAGTTGGGTCTGTCCAGGACCTGGGGCAGGATGACACTCGGTCTAAGCCAGTGACCTCTCCTGCATTCATGAATCTTTATTCAACGTCAGTGAGAAACATAGAAAGGGGAACCCCCAGCGTCTACACATTACAGAATCTAGAGGGATTCTGATGCCAGAGTATTCAAAATATACTTTTTTGAAACTCTAGCCTAGTGTACCACATGTCAGTTGCAGGTAACTAACTACTTTTAACTAATCTGTCTTATATTCTTAAATATTTCTAATTTATTTTTTCAAAAAATTAAATGCACAATCTTGTCAACAAGCAATTCAAATTCAACAACACCTCCTGGGTAGGTTGAGTTGCAGTGGACGGTCTTTTGGAGGTCAGTTCTAAGGTTGAGTTGCAGTGGACAGTCTTTTGGAGGTCAGTTCTAAAACTTTGTCTCTTCTCTGTGGTTTTGTGTCAGTTATGCACACGTATTGTTCATATTTCTGTGCTTCACGTATGCCATCAGAAATTAGGATATAAGCAAAATCAGGGGTCGGAATGTAGTCCAGCTGCTGGTGGTCTTCCCTAATTTGCAGAAATCCCTGGGCTTAATCTCCAGCACAGCACACACTGGGTGGAGCGGGGTACACCTTAAATCTGTACTCAGAAGGCAGAGGTGGGAGGAGAAGGGTCGCAGGTCATCTTTAGCTATGATGTAAGTTCAAAGCTAGTCTGATGTACAAGTCCTTGTCAGAAAGAAAGAAAGAAAGAAAGAAAGAAAGAAAGAAAGAAAGAGGGAGGGAGGGAGGGAGGGGGAGAGGGAGGGAGGGAAGGAGGGAGGGAGGGGAGATTAACTGTCAAGCAAAGTTAAAAATAAAATGCCTCTAATAAAAGTGAACGAATAAAATTAGAAATGTACAGTTATTGGAAACAAAATATAATCACTTCGATTTAACAAAAAACAAAGCATAGAGCATGTGTAAGTTTTGGAACTTTACAAATGAACACTACGATCCAGAGGAGTCTGCATCAGCCTCTTAATGGCACCAAAATGCCACCACTTCCCTAAGGTAGAAAGAAGATTATGCTTCCTATAAATAACTCCTTATAAACATCTTCTCAAGTCCAGCTTGGTAGATAATTATAGGATTAACAACCATGAAAACCAAGTTCTATTTCTGTCTTTTACAACAAATCACTTTATACCTTTGACCTTCGATTCCTAATCCATGAAGTAGAATGGTTGAAATAGATACTCGCTGACACCCGTCTCTCTTTATTTTAAATTTATTTTTTGAAGTGCCATGGGATCAGACCCAGGGCTTTGTAACACTAGACGAGTGCTCCACCACTGAACTACATCCCCAGGCCATTTTCCCCCTTCCCAAACAGGGTCTTGCTCTGTAATCCAACCTGACCTCAAATGTCCGTCTTCATACTCTGTCTCATGAGTGTTGGCATGATTGGTGTGACCCACAACACCCAGCTCTTCCTTTATAAAAAGTTATAGGACTCTAAAAAGAACTAATTGTTTATAGTAATTCCTCTACACTTACACCTCAGAGACGTCAAACTTGATGACTGCTTAATATATGGTAATAAAAAAAATCAAACTGATTGACAAAGAAAACATTGCCCTATAGGGTAGAGGAGGTGTGCTGGAATTTATTCTAGTCTCCTATTGTCTATCATATTTTTTATTTCTATTCTATTGGACTATTGTCTGGACCATCATCACCATCAATACAGTTATATATATGCATTTTAGCCACATAATTTTAATTATAAGCATCTGGGAGTAAGTCTATTCATATTTACTGTTTCAACAGAACCTAGAGTAGTGCCTTTCACAGTGTGTGTCCAGCACATGGTCATGATACCCGCACCCGTGTTTGGTTTGCCCTTGAATTCCCAGCCAACTTTACTGATAGAACCGAGAACCTGATAGCTCTCCTCTGCCCACTGCTGGTGGTTTCCAATGACATTCAGTATTAATATAAGCCACTCCTCGATGCTGAACACAGGTGAGAAAACTATCACTGTTCTGTGACTGTGCTGATTGTGTGCTGTGAATGCAGACGGTAAACACTTAAAAGGTCATTTCAGGAAGCTGCCAAACTCAGGGTTGAGAGCTGTATTTTTGTTTAATCTTCTTAAGCTGCCATTCTTTATCTTCCAAATCAACCACAGCTAACACTCAAAATGCTGTTGGTGTCCTCAGGTAACACCGCATCCCAGAGCCCGGCAGAGAGCTTACCTACCCTCCAGATCAACTAAAGCTCCTGATGGTGGACTTTAATGAACCATAGTTCACTGTGGTGAACTGTCCTCCAGCTCAGTAAGTCACATTGTTCCTGGTCCAGTTCTAAAGCAGGGCACGTGGGATCCCCTAGCCTGCAGCCCGCCCCCCACGTGCTTCATGTTTGTTTGTATCTTAAATTTTGTGTAACATCACTCCATCAAGAAAGCTTTTCTAGTCTTTGTTCAGCCCATTTACATATATCTATATATCTATCTATCTATATATATATATATATATATATGTTTCTAGAATCAGGGTTTCTCTGTGTAGCCACCACCACCCAAACCTAATGTTTCTTATAGCTATTTGGCATTCCCTAAATATTTAGCACATATCAATAAAATTAGATATTTTATAAAGTAAATTATGATACTTAATTTTCAGAACAAACCCTCAGAATATTTACAACAAATATTTTACAGATTAAGAATTGGAATTTTGTCAAGGGTCAAATGAGTGTAGAATTGTGACTCAATCTCAGGCCTTCTGAATGCAGCTACACTTTTTATCATGTACATATGGATTGTGTGTGTGTGTATGTACATATATACTTAAAATGTTACAGTGTGTTAAATCTCTGTAAAACCTATGATTAGATTTTGATTCACTTCTTTAATGCCTTTCTTATTGGTGAGTTGTAGGAGGAGCTAAGGTGGGAGGAGTAAGGAGAGGAAGAGGAGGAGTAGGAAGAGGAAGAGGAGAAGGAAGAGGAGGAGCTAGGAGACAGGAGAGGAGAATGAGAGAAGGGAAAATGGAGGCGGATGTTCACGTGTCTCCCACTGTCAAAGGTAGTTGGTATATCTAAGTTGGGTATTGGATTACACCTTTGATTGATGGACATCTTATTATTAATCATTACCAAACATATAAAGCCTTTGAATAATCTTTAAGCATTAGAGTCTCATTCTCTTACTGGGCCTGCATGGATGATGGAATGGTCTGGACAATGCCCTGCCTCGTGGAGATAGCGTAGAAGATTGGAAGACCCATCTCTCACGCTGGCATCTAGTGGGTGGCAGGGCTGGTGTTTCTGGTGGGCCGGTTCTAGCAGCAGCACACACGTGGCCTCCGGCCAAGAAGCATGGCGGCTGAGCTAGGCAGAGCTGCCACAGCTTAGATAGTCGGCTTGATCCAGAGGCTGATTTTAAATAATTACAACAACAGTGAGTTCTCATAAATAATTGTCTGAACCTCCTCAAAGATTCCCCAAAGTATCTAATATAGATTTGGGGGGGGGGGCAAGGGGGTTCCTTGTGAATAGACACACAGACATACACACACACACACACACACACACACACACACACAAAATAAAGAATTAACCATATTGTGCTACTGGAATTTTAAACTGTGGTTTAAAAACAAAACAAAAATCACCTCAACAGGATTTGGCTACTTGCTATTTTTATCCTTCTCGATTCCTTTTAAGAATTAGAATGTAAACCAACCAATGACTTTGAAGTAGTTGAAAAATAGGTGTTTTGGGACTTGGGATGCAAAAAGCATTTGCCTGGCGTGTGCTAGTTCCTATGTTC